CTTCAGCTCTGAGTCCTAGTGGCCTTTGTGCACGTTCGCGGTCGACCACGGCGGTTGACCGTCAGTCTACCTGGCTGATTCTTCTGCTGTTTTCCTGTACTCTCTTGCCATTTCTTCAATTCTCCACCTCGGCGAATGTTTCTACCAAAACTGAGCCGACACCAAATCATTCAATAGTTCTGCAACAAGTTCGGGAACCAAGACTAGAGCTGAAACGCGATCTCCCCCTAATCTGAATCAACAAAACCTGCTGTATCTGAAAGACTATCTACGTATCCTCTTGCCCAAGGAATCAAGCCGAACGTAGTTCACCCAAATGACCTCCAAAGGTCTCAACACTGAAGAATGTTCAAAAGCTTCAAACAATGACCAAATTTTACTCCTGAAATAACTTTGGTCAACATATCTGCAGGGTTGTCGTTCGTGTGAACCTTCTCCAATATGACGTCTCCATCATCCAAAACGTCATGAACAAAGTGGAATCTGACATCGATGTGCTTCGTGCGCGCATGATAAACCTTGTTCTTCGCCAAATAGATAGCTGACATGCTATCACAATATACCTGAATGGTCTCCTGTGCGATTCCCAAGTCCTCTAATAATCCACACAACCACAAAGCCTCCTTCACAGCTTCAGTTACTACCATATACTATGCCTTCGTAGTAGAGAGAGCCACTATGGACTGAAGCGTGCATCTCCAACATACAGGTGCACCTGCCAATGTAAAAGTATAACCTGAAGTGGACCGGTGCTTGTCAAGATCTCCAGCATAATCTAAATCCACATATCCAATACAATCCTGCCCATTCTTCTCATCCTTCTGGAATACCAAACCAACATCCACGGCGCCCCGAACATACCGTAGAATCCACTTCACGGCCTCCCAATGACCCTTCCCGAGGTCGTGCATGTATCTAGATACCATGCTCACGGCCTATGACAAATCTGGCCTCGTACACACCATCGCATACAACAAGCTACCTACTGCACTGGCATATGAGACCTTTGACATATAATCTCTGTCCTCAACTGAAACAGGTGACATCAACGTTGAAAGCTTGAAGTGGGGAGCCAATGGTGTGTTAACTGCTTTTGCATTGCCATCAAAGCTAAATTTCTTCAACATCTTCTGCAAGTAGCTTTTCTGTGTAAGTTTCAAACTCCCTTTCACCCTGTCTCTCTCGATCTCCATACCCAATATCTTCTTTACCTCTCCAAGATTCTTCATCTCGAACTTGGATGACAGCTCCTCTTTCAACTTTCGAATAGCCGAAGAATTCCTGGAAGCAATAAGCATATCGTCAACATATAAAAGCAAATATATGTGCTCACCATTCTGTAGCTTGTGCATATAAACACATGGGTCATATGGACTCCTTGTGTACCCTCTGCCAATCATAAAGCCATCAAATCTCTTATACCACTGTCTTGGTGACTGCTTCAAACCATAAAGATACTTTTTCAGCTTGCAAACCAAATCTTCCTTTCCTGTAGCTTTGAATCTCAATGATTGTGTCATGTAGATCTCCCCATCTAAATCACCGTGTAAAAAGGCTATATTTACATCCATTTGGGCCAAATCCAAATCCAACTGTGCCACCAACGCCAATAAAATCCGTAACGACGAATGCTTCACAACGGGTAAAAATACCTCGTTGTAATCAATACCCTCAAGCTGTGCATATCCCTTGGCAACCAATCTGGCTTTGAATCGAATGTCCCCAATAGAAGATCCCTCCTTCTTCGTATATACCCACTTGCAACTTATAGCTCTCTTACCCTTAGGTAGATGTGCAAGTGTCCAAGTGCCGTTCTTCTGAAGAGACTGCATCTCCTCCTCCATAGCTTCCCTCCACCTGATCGAATCGAGGCTAGACTCTGCCTCCCCGAATGTGGATGGAACCATATCATCAATGACCTCCATTGATAATGCATATGCGACCATGACATCATTATACCTAGCTTGCCGACGAATTACTCTCCTCGGTCTATCTGCTACAATGGACCCCTGAACATGACCATGTTCCTGAGTCTCATAATCCACTGTATCCTCTATCTGCCTGGCTGTCATCTCATCTCCTCTCAGTGTCACCTATGTAGGAGCCTCGATGGATACAATTCTCTCTGGAGTGGGTGGAGTCACATCATCCTCCACCTGCTACGATATCTTTCATGTCTGGTCTCCCTCCACCTGCTGAGGGACTCGAGGCCTCATCATGTACGCCTTATCGAATGTGACATATCTGTTAATAACTATCTTCTTATCCTGTGGATCCCATAACTTGAAGCCTTTAACTCCATCTCTAAATCCCACAAAGACTGCTTTCCTCGTCCTCGGATTTAATTTACCATCACTGACATGGTAATAAGCTGGACACCTAAATATCCGAAGCGACTCATAGTCACTAGCCACCGAACCAAACCAACGCTCCAAAGGAGTCTTCTCATCTAACGCAGTGCACGACAACCTATTCACGAGATGGCTCGCATAAACCAACGCCTAGGCCCAAAAAAATCTAGGCAATCCACTCTGTGTCATCATACATCACACCTTCTCCAGCAAGGTACGGTTCAATCTCTCAGCCACCCCGTTCTGTTGTGGTGTCTCTCGAACTGTGAAGTGTCTTCCGTGATCCCGGTAAAACTACAGAAACGGATCACTCTTGTGCTCTTAATCGTTATCTGAACGTAGAGTCTTTACCTTTCTACCTATCTGTAGCTCCACTTTCTTCTTCCATTCCATAAAAATATCTAGGACCTGATGTTTATGCTTCATAGGGTATAATCAATTCCTCCTGGAATAGTCATCAATGAAAGTGACAAAATAGTTAGCCCCACCAAGAGATGTGTTCTTAAAAGGGCCCCAAACATCTGTGTGAATGTAATTCAATATACCTCGGGTGTTGTGAACAGCGGTGCCAAACTTTACTCTAGTCTTCTTTCCAAGTACACAATGCTCACACAGCTCCATCTTACAGGTCTTAGCACCTTTTAATAGCTCATGTTTTGCCAATGACTGTAGAGACTTATCACCTGTGTGTCCAAGTCTCATGTGTCATAAAATGGTAGTGTCCTCCTCTGTAGTGATAGAAGCTGCCAGACCCCCTGTAACTGTCTTGTCCTTCAAATAGTATAGATTGTTTTCCCTGACACCTCGCATCACCACCATAGAGCCCTTCGTGATCTTCACTGTAGCATCATCTAAGATCACTCGATATCCTGCTGCCTCCAAAGTCCCAAGAGAAATGATGTTCTTCGTCAACTGCGACACGAACCTCACTTCCTTCAACTCCCTCACTACACCGTCAGGCATCCTAATCCGGACTGAACCAATACACCAATAGGGCATACGTGATCATTACCCATAAGCACGACATCCCCTCTTTCCAGCTCCTCAAAGTTAGAGAATCACTCCCTCTTAGGGCAGAAGTGATATGTAGCTCCCGAATCCATCATCCACTCCGTGGAATCCGCATAACAAACCGACGGTAATGCAGGGCATGAATAGCCTGAAGAATCTGAATCTGAATACTCACCAATAGCTTTTGCAACATTTACTTCTGAAGCTTGTGCAGCTTTTCCCTTATTCTTCCCAGTTTTTTCTTTTCACTTTGGGCAGTCAATTTTCCAATGTCCTTCTTCTTTACAATACCGATATTGATTTCTACCAACACTCTTATAGGCACTCCTATTCTTTGACTTTGAGCGGTTGAACTGGCGAAGGTTTGGATCTCGACGTCGAACTGCTAATGCATCTCCCGATGCTTTCTCGAAGGGTTCACAATCACTCTTCCTCAACTCATAATTCACCAAAGCAGAGGTCACCTCCTTATAGCTAACTGTAGTTCTTCCATTGATCATAGTGAGAACGAACGTACCATAATCATCCTCAGGCAACGAACATAGAAGTAACATCGCATTGTCTTCATTCTCAACTATGATGTCCACATTGGCCATATCTGAAAGTAACTTAGTGAAATTGTTGACATGCTCCCTGATGGAAACTCCCCTCTTCATCTTGAATTGGTAAAACCTCTTCTTCAAGTGAAGCCGATTCTCAATGCTCTTCGTAAGATACTTCTCATTGAGTGTTTCCCACATCTTCTTCGCCGACGTCTCGTTCATAACATCATAAATAAAATCCGGCGTCAAGCATGACCTAATAACACCACAAGCTCTACTGTTCATCTTTCTCCAAACCTTATCCTTCATATCAGCGAGTTTCTCTTTTAACTCAAGAGTCTCCTCCAAATTCTGTGCATCCAAGGCGTCCATCACCTGACACCTCCATAATCCGAAATTGATCTTGTCGTCGAACTTCGGTAGAACTTCGGAACATCAATCTTCGTGTTATTGATACTCAGACTCTGTATCGCCTTCGTAAGAGACGAACCTGATGTGCTTGCATCTCCCATGTTATCGATCTAACTCTTCAGATAGGAATCTTCACCGAATCCTTCGAACGAGCCTGAAGCTCTGATATCAATTGTTGTGCGCGACGGTAGCTTTTTGGAGCGACACGAATAATAACTCAAGATAAATCACAACTAATAAGCAAATCACAACCACAGCAAGAACAAACGATTTACGTGGTTCGGCAAGTTGCCTACGTCCACGGGGCAAGGAGGGAGGAGTTCTTACTATTAGAAATCAAGAGAATACAAATAGAGTTACAAATCTCACCGATCAAATCCTAACAAATCTCCCACAATTGGATGCAACAATCCTCTCTCAAAGACTACTCAAAATCGTCCTTGCTTAACCCTAATTAATCAGGTTTAGGGTTATATATCAACTCAGAAACGAATCGGGTCAAAAACCAAGGCCCAGCCCAAAATCAGTCTGCGGTCGACCGCGCAGGTCTCGCGGGCGACCGCGGCGGTCGACCGAACCAAAAACCCGAGAGCAGAATCGATTACAGTCATGGCGCGGTCGACCGCGACGGTCGACCGAATCTCATCCCGAGACCAAAAACACCTACAGGGTCCTCGTGGTCGACCGCCTTCAGCTCTGAGTCCTAGTGGCCTTTGTGCACGTTCGCGGTTGACCGCGATGGTCGACCGCCAGTCTGCCTGGTTGATTCTTCTGCTGTTTTCCTGTACTCTCTCGCCATTTCTTCACTAATATGACTATGGCATTACGAGATTGGAAGTGAAAATTGTTATGGGATATGACATCTGTAATGAATCTCAATGATTTACACTATGGATTAACAAACCAAATACATTGAACTCCACATTATGAATCTTCCAGATGAAGAGATCTTACTTATCACAGTAATTAACATGTTTTCAGAAACAACTCTCCTCGTCGATCTCCGCTTCAGACACATACCCCTCTTCACGCATTAATCCAATCAGTCTATCCAACACCATGTAAATCTCGTCAGAACGTTCATTTGATGCATCTTTTGCGACAAACACTTGTAAACCATAACTCATTCCAATCCAACTACAACCTGGAATCTTCGACAGCCCAATGCCCTTCAATTTTTCTCTCACAATCTTCGCCTCCTCCCATCTGCCAACTCGTGAATACAAATTAGCCATCACAATATAGTTCCCTGTGTTCTCTGGTTCAATTTGCACCAACTTTTCATAAACAAATTTTCCGAATTCAACATCTCCAATGCTTGCAGCCCCGTTAAGCAATGAACCCCAAATCTTTGCATTTGGCTCACCGGGCATTTTGCTAATGAACTCCATTGCTTCCTCAAGCATTCCTTGGCGGCTAAATACTCCAACCATGCAAGCATATTGCTCCATAGCTGGTAAAATTTCATAACTGGCCATCATTTTATAAATTTTTCGGGCTTCATTTACTGCTCCAGCATGAGCACAAGCAGAAAGAACAGTAGTGAATGTCACAGGATCAGGCTCGATCCCATTATCAAGCATTCTATTAAACATGATAATTGCATTATCAGCATCACCATGAGATGCATAAGCCGATATAATAGCAGTCCAAACAATGAGGCTCCTTCCTTTCGTTCTCTCAAATACACAACGAGCCCCTGCAAGAAACCCGGATTTAGCATAAATGTCGATCAGCGCACTCGTCACGTAAATGTTTTGATCAAAGTCGCTTCTAATAGCATAACCATGCACTTGTTTCCCAGCTAAGAGATTCGAAAAGAATGAAATAGCAGGGAGAATGCTTGATAAAGTTATGGAATTGGGTCGAAAACCTAAATCTTGCATCACTAGGACTTGACTCAATGCATCAGAATGTTGATTATTTTGCACAAGACCCGCGATAACTGCATTCCAAGAGCTAATTGTTGAATTCGCCATTCGATTAAAGAGATTCATTGCCTTGTCCACAAATCCATGGGCCATGTACCCTGTAATCATCACATTATAACTCACAGCATCTTTATATTGCATTTCATCAAACAAAGACCTTGCATATTCCAACCTTGCACATTTTGCATAAAACCCAATAACTGAATTCCAAAGCATTGCATCCATCTCAATCTCACTCTTTACTGCAAACTGATGCGCTCTCGTTCCCATGACCAAATCCTTCATCTGTGAACAAGCGTGCAGCATGCTGGCAACAGTCACCCCATTTGGCATCACGCCGTCCAATCCCTTCACCATCTCAAAAAACAATCCCAAACACTCATCATAATTTCCTGCTTGAGAGTAACCCGATATTATCGAATTCCATGAGACGATGTCTCTCTCAGGCATCAAATCAAACACTAATCTCGCATAACGAGAGTGCCCCATCTTTGCATACCCTGCAATCAACCCATTTGCAACAAACAAGTCAGAATCAAGGATACCATTACGGACAGAAAACCCATGAATCTCCTTATGAGTCGAGATGCAAGAGACTGACTTCAGGAGAGAAGATAGAGTGAAGGCATCGGGCTTGAGAGACCATGGCATGGAAGCAAATAGTTGATGACAATGATAAGGGTCATGTGAGTGGAGAGAGTAGGCGATGAGCATTGCATTATAAGAGAAAAGATTTTTCTGGGGAATTTCATCGAACAGTTTGCGGGCGACTGTGAGATGGCCGCAGCGAGAGTACAGGGAGAGGAGTTTGGAGGCGAGGAAATTGGAGGGGATGATTGAGTGGAGGACGAGGCGGGCGTGGAGTTGGCGGCCGACGT